GGGGGGGGGGGAAACATATCGGTGATGACTGTTTCCACAAACATATAAATAAATCTTATAACGACCCATCTCCCCTACTCCCACTCGCTTCTAAATCAAGACATCCGACTGAATAATTTCTTCGAATACTTTCTTAAAACATATCGGTAATCTATGACTGTTGCCTCGGACATTTTTAGTAACAGTAAGAACATCAGTTACACAACCCTAACCAACCGCAATAAATAAATAAATATAATAATAAAACAATAAATAAATAAAACAATAAATAAATAAATAAATAAATAAATAAATAAATAAATAAATAAATAAATCGATTTTTAATAAATTTGCATACTTCTATGCCCTGAAGGGTGGCTACGATATGCATGCCTTGCCATTTATCTGAGGGTGTAATTCTTTAGAGAGGTCATTTAGAATATATCACTTCTGGAATCCTTGGCTCTTTTGAGAAAGAAAAAAGCACTCAGTTATGTTCCTCTTATCTTTCTTTGCAGTGGGTCGTTGGCAGGTGTTCTGATATTATGGTTTGCTCCTTCTTTCTTATTATCAAACATTCATTGTCCTTCTCTCCCCTTCTTCTGTTCTTTGTGAGTTTCTCTCCAGTAAGACCTGTAATACTTATGGCTCTTGTACAACCTATTTGTGTTTCAAGTGCCGTAAAACTCTTACTAAAACTGAACTTTCTTCGCAGAAAGTGATCCGAAATTTTGAGGTTTGCGACGTTCCAGTTCGCGCTGCCAAGTTCGTACCTCGGAAAAACTGGATTGTCACTGCCAGCGTAAGTGTTTGTGTGTGTGTGTGTTTGGTTGTGTGTTTGTAGGAAAGGAGGCGAAAGGAGAAAATTAAAGAGAAGAAATTTTGTCCATCACTATCCGGATTCGAACCCAAGAACTTTGAATGAGAGGCCAACACCTCAACCTCTAGACCCCTTTCTCCTTGTGTTGTTATGTTACTCCCTAGAAACACCTCTAATCTTTGGCGTGTTTATAACCTTATTGTGTTGGAAGTGCCGTAAAATTCTTACTAAAAACGCTTTCCTTACAATTAAAACAAACTGACGTGAACCCTTGAACAGCCCCTGAAAGTGAAAGTGACGGCGAAATGTGGTTGTTACCGTACTTCTTTCCTATCAAACATCTATCTTTCTTACTCCCCCCC